ATATTAATAATTTTATTTGTGAGTTGTATAATATAAAATATAAAACTTCCTGACCGCTGAGGTCAGGACATGTGACCACACGTGATTGGCGCAGTAGATTAATTTTTTTTTCGGTTTCAAAATGCTAAGTATAATATTATCAATATCCTCCTGCTTAATTTGGAAATGGTCAAAGCACTGAAAGATTTGACTTTTTGAATTTTATCTTCTTCAATATTAATAAAGAGCATATAAAGCTTTCGTGATCTTTCTACCTTCTTCCACAATGTAGTATCTGTAATATTGGGAATTTGCTCTCTAACTTCTTTATTAACTAGCAACAAAGAAGCATATGGGGGATTTGTTTTCTCATGATGCTTAAGTTGTTCTGATAGAGCTTTACCAAAAAGATAATAGTTGGTTATAACATCCCGATTAGTAATTTCATTTTGCATTTCTGAATTAGTTATATTATTATATAAATCATTAAAACTAATAACATTTTCTTTTCTAATTACAGGAACTTGAGTTTTGGGTTCAGTAGATAATTCTTTTATAAGATCTTCTAATATGTCTGATTCTTTTTTAACTAGTTTCTTTACTTTTTTATTAGATGGTTTATTTGTAGGTTCTCTAACATGTTTTTTTTGTATTTCACCTTCAAATAATAATGTATTTATTGGTGAATATAGCCTAAGATTATTGCCTAACATATCTGCAATAACTGAAGTTTCATTAGATTGAGATGATTTGGAAAACCTTTGTTTAAATATTATAAGATCAATAGTTTTTTTGCATTCAGTAATAAGGCATTTGTTTTCTTTTATAAATAAAAAATTTTTTTCAATGCATTTCTTATAATATACATGATCGCATGAAAGTATTGTAAGTGATTCAAAGTTAATCGTTAAAATTTTTTTATTACATATTTTATATGATGATAATTCTATAATATCAATATTTTGTACTGCATTATGTTTTGTTTCTTTTAAAATATTAAGAGCGAGGTTTTGAAGATTAGTAAGAGACATAATGATATTAGCGAAGCAAGTACAGATAAGTTTTTACAATAAAATTCTTTATATTTAGCTTATTTATAGTATATTCTTTATGACTAAAAAAAAATAATTTTAGATACTAATTTCAGATTTAGCGATCTATTCATTTATGAATTATTTAGTATGAGCCAAGGACCGATTGATCTACTAGCAATTATGAATGATTTACAAATTAGTAATATGTTAACCAGATAAAATAAAACAATAATAATTCAATTTGGACAGAAAACTCAAAATCACTCAATCTACTAGCAATTTTCTAGTTTATTAGCATTTTGATAATACTGATCTTAGACATGTTTTATTAATATGCCACCTGGTTGATAAGTTATTTCCTCAATGCTTGCTGGATTATTATAGCTGAATTTATTCGATTTTTTTATAAATGATATGCTTGCTAAATAATGGTTGCTAATCGATTTTCTTTATACAAAGCTACTTGGGTTTTAAATTCTTTAAATTTAAAATTATTAACTATAGTTTTATTTCTGGTTAGATTATTTTTTATGCAGAATATAAAATTTTTCCAATAATCCTTACTATTAATTTCATATCCAGGAATAAATAAATGTTTTGTATATATCTGGATAAATGATACTTTGCAAATTGTAACCAAGTTTCTGGTATTTTTAGATTATTGATATAGTTTAAACCATATTCAGTTAACATGTATTGGGTATAACTATTTTTTTCCATTCTTTAAAAATATCTTGAATATTGAGCAGGTTGTATGAATGCATTATATATATCAAATGTATTGTTTTACTTAACTAATACTTTTTATTCTTTTAGAATTTCATATAACATCTTGATTTTATATCAAGTTCGTCAACTTTAAGTATTTTGCAAATATTTTTTATTTTAAAGAAAAAAAAATAATATATAATAATTATGTAAGCTTTATGATTTGCTATCTGTTACTAGTCTAGCTTATTGAAGTGAGCTAGATATGTGAGATACATATTTGTTTTGATATTTCTTAGAAGGCCTGTACCTCATAGTTTTTTTTTTAACTTCTTCATGAGGTATATTATCTTTAACCATATTTTTATATACTCTTATGCACCAATGGTTATATGGTAAAGAGGTAACTTCATCTGATAATATCCAATGTTTAGTATCTATAAGGCAAAGAGCCTTTTTTTTTGACTCAACCAAGGATAATATATGATCTTTTGATCAAATATCTATATTCTTGATATAGAATACTTCATTTCTAAAGAAACAATCATGATAAACTTGGGTTATTGGATTAAAGATCTCAGCTTTGTTTACTGTTTCATTAAGAAGAGAACCACCTAGAGTTGAGAAGTATGTTTTACTAGCCATTTTGCTCATACCCTTTTTAGTAACTCTTTTATGCTTAGACTTTATAAACTTATCTGCTAAAACATAGTAATAAGATTTGGTCCGAATATGATAAGATTCTGTAATTACATTGCCTGAAGTCTTATCTTTAAAAAGACCTATAATTTTTGAATTGTTAAGATCAAACATATTAGGCCTCTCTGTCATGTCTTTATATATATCTTTAGTCTCAACAAGATATATAAAAGAATCTGTATCCATATATCCAAGCTTAGCATTATTTCTATATTTTTCTTTTACATAGTTATACTAAAATTGGTATATAAGAAGCTTGCTAAAACCTAAAACAGATGTATCTACAATTATAGGTTTATTTAAAATAATACTAGCCTTTCCTATATGTGCTCTTACTAAAGTACCTCCAAGTTGTCTAGCATATTTAAAGAAGGGCTTACAAATTTGATTAATAAACTTCTTTTTATCTTGCTTATTATTCATAGTTATGAGCTTGACATCTTGATACTTACAAACATTTTCCATAGTCTTGCTATAAACTAAATTGTTCATAAGCTTAAAGAAGTCCTTTTCAAAAGCATTCTTGGCACTTTGATGCTTTTTTGTATTAAAAGCTATATAGGAAGCAAGCCAGTTAGTCTGATCGAATGATAAGACTTCTGTAATCTCATCTACTAGCATATTGTTATAGAACGATTTATTATTATTTTATTATTAGTTATTATTATTATTATTATATTATTATTATTATATTA